CAGCAGGCTCTATGCGCTTTACACTATATTATTACCCCAGCAGACCATAGAACACTCCGAAACATTCTCAGCTTCCCGGAAAGCATACATCAACCCAAATATGGCCGCACTTGAAACTGGAGACCCCGGAAGTGCGTAAAAGGTCAAGTACGTTTTGAATGATGGGATACATCTTACTTTAACATGTTTTATTACTGCAGAGGTACCCGTTAACGTCAAACAGTCAGTGTTCTTGTGGATATTACACTGGTCCCAGTCATGGGAAAAATATACGTGTAGTAATTACATTATAGCTTTTTCACGTTCGTCTGACCGCGTTAAAAAAAACTTTGATACATCGAGGAATTTATCTCTGCCCATAACATTTGGCATAGCACTTCTTCAGGCCAGGGACAACATTTTTTTTCCAAAACATTTTGACCCAGTAGGCGTAATAAAAAAGTTTTATTTTTCTCTTTGGGCTCTATATTAAAAACCGATCTTTGCTTGCATACACAGGGTCACTAAAATAAACGACTTACAGTAGTCTTGCCTACAAATTACTCATTTTGAGACAATGGCACCGCCCAGCCCCCACATTCCAGTGTAGGCTTGTCAGTTTCATCCCCCCGGCTGTCTAGACGTCTCCACGTGTTCCGCAGGAGTCTTGAAAAAATACTCACCCCGCCTCTTGAACCGTGTTTCTTAGGTGAACGTAAAAGAGTGTTGTTGAGGGAAACAAATGGTTTAGGCGTATTCTGTAAATCCCCTATTATCTATTTTTACCCGCTTTAGGAATACATCTAAGAAAACGTGTCGAACTTTAGTTTGCAGTGAATACGGGGTGCCCACTACGCATGGGATCGGCCGATGGGGCCGATCACCTGACTCGATCGCCTCAAAAACAAACGTGTTTGTTTTCAGTTTCAGCCGATCGAGTCGGGCGATCAGCCCGATCCAGCCGTAGTGGGCACCGCGTGTAAGGAATGGGTTGTTAGATTCTGTTGGTCGTATAACATCAGCATGCAAAGACCCAGAAAGATTAAACAGTGTGATTTGTTTTTAACCCATCTCAACCGCAGTCACACAAAAGTGAACGAGCTATAACAGTAAACAGATTGTTGCCTTGAGTATACAGAAAAATATAGGAACATACTTACATACTATTATTAGGAATATATTTGAGCAAGCATACATAAGTGTGGAAAAAGAAAGTGGCTGTACACACAAATTATGTTCATGCGCGCGCGCACACACACACACACACACACACACACACACACACACACACACACACACACACACACACACACACTCACACAAACACACACACAAACACACACACACACACACACACACACATACAAACGCAGTGCACTGTGGGAGAGAAAGAGAGAGATAGATAGATAGTTAAATAGATAGATAGATAGATAGATAGATAGATAGATAGATAGATAGATAGATAGATAGATAGATAGATAGATAGATAGATAGATAGAGAGAGAGAGAGAGAGAGAGAGAGAGAGAAAAGAAAGAGAGAGAGGGAGAGAGAGGGGGAGGGGAGAATTAGGGAGAAAAAGTGATAGATCGGTTGATCGATTAATTAATTAATTGATTGATTGGTTGATTTGTTTATTTATTGATTGCTTGACTGCTATCAACAGGGACAAGAAACGAAGTGAACTCACGGTATAGGTCATGGAAGATCCAGCCAGCGTGACCTCTGATCCCCCTGTAACCGTGAACTTCCACTCATACACAGCTGCAGTCACGTGGGATGTGGAGGCACAGGTGAGAGTGTAGCTGCCACCGCTTCTGATGATGTCTGATGCCGCAGAAGAACTCAAACTCGGGGCGTCGGGGGTCGCTGTGGGAGGGGGGGGGAGTAGTAAGAGTTTTACAGCACTTCCAACACAAATTATTGACCACAGCGTTGGACGATTAGAGGTGTTACAAGCAAGTAACAACATACAAAGGAAAGAAGGGTGAGAGATAAGGATGGAAATAATATAATCGTGTTTGGTTGGGAAAGAAGGAGCAAACTACGACTGAAGGGGGGGGGGATGGATAGATAGATAGATAGATAGATAGATAGATAGATAGATAGATAGATAGATAGATACCACCGTTGCTATTGCTGTTGTTTTTCCTCTTTTTCTGTTGTTACAGCCAAAATTATGATACGGCAGTGCCATTATGGTTGATGTTGCTATTGTTTTTGTTCTTGGATTTGTTGTTGTTGTTTGTATTTGCAGTTGTTGTTTATGCCGTCATCGTTGTTGTTGTCCTTATCTCGGTTGTATCGTTGTTGTAAGTGTTGATGCTTTCGTTGTTGTTGTTGTTGTTGTTGTTGTTGTTGTTGTTGTTGTTGTTGTTGTTTTTGCTGCTGCTGTTGTTGGTGTTGTCGGTGTTATGTTTTTTTGGCAGTTTAAAAAAAATTATATTTTAAATGTTTTTCTTTCTTGTTGTTTATTTTGTTGTATTTTGTTCATCATTAAGTCGAAAATGTTGATGGTATCGTTGTTAACATAATTACAACAACATTAACGAGCTTCCCATATCCCCACTCATACTTGTGACGACCTCTATGAGAGCTGTCGCCTATTGTTGCTGTTGCTGTTGTTGTTGTTGTTCTTGTTGCAGTTGTAGTTGCTGCTATTGATGTTGTTGTTAATGTTGTTGTTTTTCGTTGTTGCTGCTATTGTTGTTGTTGTTGTTGTTGCTGTTGTTGTTGCTGCTGCTGTTGTTGTTGTTAATGTTGTTTTTGTCGTTCTTGTTGCTGCTGTTGTTGTTGTTGTTGTTGTTGTTAATGTTGTTTTTGTCGTTGGTGTTGCTGCTGATCTTGTTTAAACTATTCTCTTGAATATGTTTATCTTGTTGTTGCTGATGCTGCTGTTTCTAAAGTTACCTGTGACAGACACTGTGAGAGTACTGGACTCATTATGTTGCTGCTGTTGATATTGTTGATGTTGGAAATATTGTCTTTATTATTATGTATATCTTGCTGCTGCAATAGTTGCCTGTGACAGCCATTCTGAGAGTTCTGGGCTGCTGTTGTTTTTGTTGTTGTTGTTATTTTTGTTGTTGTTGTTGTTGTTGTTGTTGTTAATGTTATTGTTGCTTCTGTTGTAGTTGTTGGTGGTGGTAGTGTTGTTGTTGTTGTTGTTTTTTGTTGTTGTTGTTGTTGTCGTTGTTGTTGTTGTAGTTGCTGTTGTTGTTTTGCTGTTGCTGTTGTTGTTGTTGTTGTTGTTGTTGCTGCTGTTGTTCTGATTGTTGCTGTTTTTGCTGATGCTGCTGATCTTTTTTTCCTTTTTTGCTGCAGCTACTGACCTTGTAATCTAGTTGTTGTTGGTGGTAGTGGGGTTGTTGTTGTTGTTGTCGTCGTTGTTGTTGTAGTAGTTGTTGTTATTAATGTTGATGTTGCATTTGGAGCTGATGTTGTTGTTCTTGTTGTTGGTGTTGTTGCAGCTGTTTTTGCTGCTGCTTTAGATCATGTTGTTGATTTTGTTGATACTATGGTTGGTGTTGTTGTTGGTGGTGGTGGTGTTGCTGTTGTTGATGTTGTTGTTTTAGTTGTTATTTTGCTGCTGCTGATGATGTTATTGTTATGCTGTTGTTGTCGTAGTTGTTGCTGCTGTTGTTCTGATTGTTATTGTTGCTGCTGCTGAAGATGTTGTTGTTGTTGTTGCTGCTGCTGCTGCTGCTTATGTTACTGTTGTTGTTGTTGTTTAAACCATTCTCTCAATGTTCATCTTGCTATTGCCGATACTGTTGCTGCCTACCTGTGACAGTCACTATGTAAACACTGAACGCCTGCTGTTGTTATTGTTGATGTTGTTGTTGTTGTTGTTGTTGTTGTTGTTGCTGTTGTTGTTTTGTTGCTGCTGATGTTGTGTTTGTCTCTATTGATGTTACTGTTGTTGTTGTTGTTTTCGTTGTGGTTGTTGTTGTTGTTTTCGATGTTGTTGTTGTTGTTCTGATTGCTGTTGTCTTTGCTGCTGCTCCTGATCTTCTTGTTGTTGTTGTTGTTGTTATTGTTGATGTTGCTGCTGGTGGTGATCTTGTTGTTTTTCTTGTTGTTGTTGTTGTTGCTGTTGCTGTTATAGTTGTTGTTGTTATTGTTGTTGTTTTTGGTTTTGCTACTGCTGCTATTGTTGTTGTTGTTGTCACTGTTGTTGCTGCTGTTGCTGTTGATGTTACTGTTGTTGTTGTTGTTGTTGTTTGAACTATTCTCTCAATGTTTAAATTGCCCCTGCCGATACAGGTTGCTGCTGTAAGTTAGCCTACCTGTGACAGCCACTGGGTGAGACTTGAACGCCTGCTGTTGTTATTGTTGTTGTTGATGTTGTTGTTGTTATTGTTGTTGTTGCTGTTGTTGTTGTTGTTATTTGATTGCTGCTGATGTTGTGTTTGTCGCTACTGATGCTACTGTCGTTGTTGTTGTTGTTTTGCTGCTGATGATGATTAGTGCGTCGTTGTTGTTGTTGTTGTTGTTGTTGTTGTTGTTGTTGTTGTTGTTGTTGCTGCTGCTGCTGCTGCTGCTGTTGATGTTACTGCTGTTGTTGTTTGAACTATTCTCTCAATGTTCATCTTGCCATTG